TGCTTGAGTTGTTTCTTTTATTCACAGCCCGACATGAAAGACCCCGCTAAAGTATTGAAAGATAATGCGAAGGAGCTGGGTGATTTGCTAGTCAAGTCCCCAAAGAACAACAACAAAAAAGGGGGAAAGGACACCCCACCAACACCGAGCAAAGGCAACAGCTCCGGCAGCAATAGAAACAATTGCAAGATGGCCTCCGATAGCGAAATGTCGATACCCAAGATAGCGATGCGCGAGGCGGCCGAAATTCAAATCGAAAAGCTATTGCCCCAAAAGGATATCGATCTGCCACCAACGATACCCACACAAACACCGACCCAGTCCAAGGTGGCTACCTCACCGAAAGCGGCGGCGAATGGCACTTCCGGCACTCCCAAGAAATTGATCTGACCGGCTGAGCCGAAGGCGAAAGCAATACATGAAGAATACCCAGAGCATTCACCTAGGGCAAAATGAGATCAGAAAGTCAACCCTTTGTCCAAATTGATTCGAGTTGCATTCAATATTAATAATATTAAAACAGGAAATGCATAGAATAGTAATTCAATAGAAAATCTGTATTTAGTTAGATCCCAGGCAAGAGCTCCTTTGCAAGGCTGTATTAAGTATGTGTAAAAGTTGCCCAAATTATAAACTATTGCTTAAAATATACATATATACAGAATTTGGGTATGTTAAACGAATACAATGGCAGAACTACCTTAAAACTATTTACTTTCATTTTCTACCGCCTTAGTTATATACTACTTTCATGTGCTGGTCCATCAAATACTTGACTCTATAATAATGTTAGCGATTGTGATCATTAAGTGAAATATTAATTTACATATTATTTCTAATATAAAACCTAACGTAGCAACAACAACAACAATGTCAAACGATTTGAATTCAGTGGAATTTCAACATCAAATATAAAGTGTTATCACAAAAATCAATTAAATGCAAAAGCGAAGCGAAAAGCACGTGATACTTTTCTGTAACAATAATAAATACTATATGCTTAACTGAATTAGATAAACAATGTGTAAAAGTGTTAATTTGCAATAAGAAATAAAGAAACAAGTTACACACACGTAATGGAGATTTAATTTAGGGAAACAGTTCTCTTAAGTGTGTGAATTATAGAATATGATGGGAAAATCGAAGGCTCTAGATGAGGTTTATGTAAAACTACTTTATTTGATAATGATAAAAATAAAGGAATGATTTTACAGTCTGATAGCCGATCTAGGAGTATTTTAAAGCCTTTTCGTTTATTTTTGCTTGATTATTTATAAGACAATGACTCAATGAGGCTTTTGAAGAAGTTTTTTGCTGAATATATCTGGTAAATTTGTTAAAATTATTTATATTAAAATTATATGGAATGGATTTCGAACAAATTTTGTATGCAGCAGATATGCTTACACATATTAATAAGAAATTTGTTAAATGTTAAGTAAGCAGAAATATTCTTTGTACAATCTAATCAAATGTTCCTTTGGCAGAATTTCACTTCGATTAATATATAGAATATATATAATGCTACATAATCTGATTAGAGGTTTCTTTTAAGTGATGAAAAGAGTGAGTATATAGGCTCTGCTATTGATGCTAATAAGGTATATAGACAGAGTATGTAGTTTGTGGGGTTAGAGCATTTGAGTGAATACCTCAGACCGCCTCAACACATAAACAATAAGAGCTAATGTCTAGGTCTAATATCTCTGTCTATTTGTGTACAGTTCATATATAAATCATACATTCAACGAAGTTATAAAGATAAATAGAAATAAATTTAATTTAATGAATTTGTTATTGAAAAAAAAAAGAACAGCTGCCAACCATGTTTTATATGTATGTATATGTGCTTTTTTACATATATTCGTATGAGTAACGCTTGAGCTGCTAGTAAAAAAATGCTCTTCAAATTTACTTGCTATTCAGCTGCATTAGGAGGAATGTTATACTTTTATGAGCCACTTTTATTTCTGACTTGAACTCATAATTACAAACTATTGTAAATGCTTCGAATTCCTACATCCGAATTCTTTATTAGCTCTAAATACATTTGCAGTATGTGCGCAAAGTTCTCTTTATTTGAGCAATCTCAATGCTTCACTCGAGCTGGCTATAATTCCCTAGTGCCAACCGCAAAACCAAATTTCGCCATGGATGGGGGCGATGATGGGGCGATGCAACCGAATAAGTTTTGAGCAATTGCCAAAAAAAAATAAGAATGGGAAAAAATCCAAATAGAAAGAATGAAAAATATGAAGAAAACAAAACAATAACAACATCCATATGCTGGGCAATAAAACTAATAAATATTGCCGCAAAATGTGCAAGGAGTCCATAACTTTCCAGCTAAACCACTGACCCATAAATTCTCTTATAATTTTACTCGAGCAAATGCACTCTGCCATTGGCATGGAATTTAGTTGGATACTTGGGGCTAGAAATGGGGCAGCATCAATGCAAAAATTATGATTTACTCTTTCAATTTCACTGCGATTACACTTTGACCCTTTGGCAATTTCCAGGGGAACCCATATTTAATGAACTGCACAATATTTGTTGATTTGCAACGTTTTTCTGTTTGATTATCGAACAAAGGGAGTAATTGGATTCAGGTGTGTTTGGGATAATAAAGTAAGAGCTGTTGTTATACCTGGCATTCATATATATAACAGGTTATAGCGATTGCTCTACTTGACTATCGTTGTGACCATTGTGTTCCGTAAACCATTATACTCACTGTTATATAAAGTGTTCCATTTAGCTATCAGAGTAACTGTCCCATTAATTAATTGGCTATTTTAGTAACTGTTCTATCAACCATTATACTCACTGTCATATAAAATGTTCTACTTGAGTTTTTGAAGAGGTGCCACATTAACTATTATACTCACTGTTATATAAAATGATCTGCTTGACTATCAGAGTGACTGTCCCATTAACCATTAAACTAACTGTTATATAAAATGTTTTACTTGACTATTTTAGCAGCTGTCTCATTAATATTCACTGTTATATAAAATGTTCTACTTGTTATATACAATTTTTTACTTGATTGTTATAACTGTCCTATCAACCATTATACTCACTGTTATATAAAATGTTCTACTTGACTATTTTAAGAGGTTCCGCATTAACTATTATATTCCCTGTTATATAAAATGTTCTACTTGTTCTACTTGTTATATACAATTTTTTACTTGACTGTTCTAACTGTCCTGTCAACCATTATACTTACTGTTATATACCCTTTTTGTACTCGACAATTATAGCTGTCCCATTAACCATTATTTAAACTGTCCCATTATAACAGTTGCCGCATTAACTATTTATTGACTGTTATACACAATTTAATAATTTCTTTCATTAATTCCAATTTACTTGTCATATTTGACTGTTATACTGACTGCTCAACCCTCACACTCAGTTGCCATACAATAATTTATTTTGCTGTCAGCTTATCCGCTTATGTGTATGCCCGAATGGTCCCCGGAGATGTGAAGACATTTCACTAAAGTTTCAATCATTTACAAATCCCAGACCGAGAGCCGCCGTGGACAGACAGCGCGAAGAGTTTTGCCAACTGAGTAAACATTGGATGGCCAAGTTTGGTCGTCGATGATATCGAATACAAATAAAACTCAAACGATGCAACAAACAAGACCAAAGCGAAATGTGTTTAAAGGTAAATAGAAGCTTGAAAAATGTGAAACAAGCCAAATAATAATAAACTTCAGCTCCATTGGGAGCTGTGGCGGGCCAAGTGAGAATTGTTGTTTGCAATCAAGCAGTGCTCAACAATAACAGCCATCGGGAGGGGGCGGGACGAGGCGAGTTGAGGCGAGTTGAGGCGCTTCAGCAGTAGTTCGAGCAACTGTCTGTGTCTGTCTGTGCAGCAGAGGAATGCGCAACGGAGCTGGTGCTGGTGTTGGGCCAAAGTTTGTCCAGCTAAAAGTGCTTGAAATGCAACAATGGCGTTCGAAAAGCTGCCTTCAATTGGCGAGAATCCGGGCAAGGCGAATTCAAAGTGGTTCCTCATCAAATAAAGTTAATAAAGTGGACTGACTGAAGCCACTCCATATGCCATTCCAACTCTAACTTTAACTCTCTCTCTCTCTCTCTCTATCTTTCTCACTCTGCTACTTACTCAATTAAATAAAACCGAATCGCTGTAGGAAATGTCATGAAACAATTAAAAACTTGTGCCCTTCCATGAGTCAATCAGCGTGCAACAGAATAAGTAGCTCAAGTTGAACAACTTTGCACTTGCAACACTTTAAATGCCCCACGAGACACCGCCGCCGCACGCACATAAAGAAACACGCAGACAGTGCGAGAGCGGTGCTGGTAGTGGTAGTAGTGTAATGCATTTTATAGTGGCGCTCAAATCAAGAAAAATTGTCATTGCAAATTCAAAGTGATTGAAGCTAAAGCGAAAACTAAAGTTGTTAAAGCTAAGCCAAAGCGTTGAATGTTTTCTAGAAACTGTGTAATGGAAGACAATTTTTATATTAATTTTTGTTAAAATATTTATATAGATTCTCCTATTATTCTAGAAAGTTGAATATGCTGTGAAACAAATTTATAGATAATTTTTATTTATTTTTTTTTATATATAATTTATAATTTGTTTTATATATAATTATATATATTTTTATATATAGTTTTTAAATAAATTAAAAAAAAATATTTATATAGATTTTCTTATTATTCTATTCAAGCTCATTTTCTAGATTCAAGCCAAGCTACAATTTAATTTATCTTTTTGGTCGTATAAGACTCTGAGAACATATATGATTGGTAATACAATATATATTTATCTATATATTCATCAATATAATTTTTTGTCAATGAAGGTGAATTCATCAGGATAATCCCCTAATGCTATAGGATCGGCATAAAACTCAGGCTCATAGATGAATAGGTGTCGATCTACTAGGCCTGCGAGTTACGCATGGATATTTTCCCTATTTCACATTCTTTTACCAAAATCAAACTCAATATTTTCAATAGGTTAAACACTCGTGTTAGTAAATTTAATGGGATGCACTGACATTTACCAAAGATTTCATCTCATCTCATTCCAACACATGCGAAGAGCTAGGCAAATCATTTCGCTACACTTGCATCAATTTGGGCTGTTATGATGTATGGTATGTATAAGGAGAGTAGAAAATGCACGAAAAGAGAATAAAAAATAAAAAGAGAGGAAATAAAATCAAAAGTACATCTAAGTTCGACTGGCTGTGCCATGGAAACGAAATGCCAGCTGGGGGTGATCGCTAGTCCCTATTCTATTTTGCTTAGCAAGAGTGGGCGGAATCAGTCTCTTCTTCTATTTGGCTGTGACATTGACTTGATGGAACCAGCCATATCGCCAGCTGGTTGCCTCCGGATAGTTGTACTTGACATCCGGCGTATGGCCGTAGCGCGTCTCCAAGTAGGACGAGCGATTGCCAGACCTGAGCAGCTGCAGTTCGTCAGCGGGCACAGATTTCATGGGCGTACGGAACTGGCCAAAGAAACGCGCCTCCTGCTTGGACAGATCATAGTCGAAGATCTTCGAGGACGACGGCCGATAAATGCGATTATTGTGCCACTGCGCCGCTCGGGGCAATGCGCCAGCAATAATCCGCATTCTGGACGATATGTTATCCTGATGCCTGAAGATCTTCGCCTTGCGACTGCCCACGGCTGTTGCATTGCTGCCATCCGATTTGCCTGCCAGCTTGGAGCTGGTCGAGTTCAGGCAAGGCTTAACCTGAATTCTTGGAGCAGTCTGCACGGAGGCTGGGCTAAGCTTGTGTGCGCTGTTCGTTGTTGTTGTTGTGGTTGTTGTTGTTCTGGTGGTTGCTGTTGCCAGCTTCTTCTCTCCATTGGCCACTTTTGCTGCAGTTGCTCTTGTTGTTGTGGTTCTTGGCTTCATGTTCGTGGACTGATTTACGCCGCTGCTAACATTTTGTTTTGCACTTTGAAATTTTGTGGTAACTTGTTTATTTTGACAGCGAAACATTGTATTTACGTGGATTTATAAGTGGAATGCTAATAGCAGCTAATAGCAGCACCCTATAATAATCTCTACTGAGGCATGGGCTGCTTAGTTGCAGGCTTGAGAATTCAATTTAGAATAGGAAATGATTTGATGGGACAATTTTACTTTGAATTACAGTTCAATATAGGTCGAAATAAATTGATTGGCTGTAGGATTATCTTTCAAAATAAAGATATATATCTTGTCTGATATATGTATATGTATGTATATGGTATATAGTAAAACAACTACAGCTACTACTAGCACTAGAATAAAAGTAAGAGTAAGAGAGTAGAGAATACTCAAATACTATTAAAATACTGGAGTAGCTTGAAGAACTAACCTCTGATCACTGGACTAAATTAAAGTATTATATCTGTAATGAATAATATATATGTATGCATTTCAATATAAAATAAAGTATTTTTGCTGCATTCCAATGCCAATCCAATTAAAGTCTAGTTGATTAAAATTGCAGTCCAGCTGCATAATATCAAAAGCCATCTTTAAGTTCATATATATTTATAAAATATATATGTATATATTATTTATATTATGTTTATTTCAATAAATGTTTACATTATTGCTTATTGTTTCCACATGAATATTATAAATAAATTATGTTAATTTAAAAACCAGCATTTTTTTTTTATTTATTTTTTTTTTTTCGAACAACATTTACCAGTAAATATTTTTTTTAGTGTTTTTTTGTTTATATTAAATACATTTCAAAGACAAAAACTTAACATGTATTAAATTTTTTTTATATCTATACCTATTTTACTGAACAGCTTCAATGACAATTACCAAAAGCCGGATGATTTTCCGCCGGGTGGATTGTGCACTTTAATGGACGAGCGCACGCCGGATTTGTCCAGTTCCTCTGCAATGCATAAAAAAAGGGGGAGAATAAATTTGAAATATTCTTAAAATTTAATTTAGAATATACCGCTTAGCGAAAAGGATGTTTCCTGCATATCCCGCTTGCCATCCACGCGTCCAACTCCACTCGAAGCGACGCTGGGTGTGGGATTGCCAGAGAACATGGCCGAAGGAGGTTCGATTTCAGCCACGTGAACGTCCAGTTCGGCCAGCTTTTTAGTTACGCTGCCATTTAGTGGCACCTGCTCATCCCTTGCCACCTCCTGCCCTTCCCCCTCCTGCTCCTGCTTGCCCTCAATACTGTCGTAAACAAAAGGCGGTCGCAACGGCGTGGGTATGAAACGTCCAAAGCCCTCAGCAACCCGAACCTCTCCATTCTCCGCGCAAATGCGTCCGCGCACCAACACATACTCAGGCACGCCATGCACAGTCATGCCCTATGGGAGAGGGAGAATTTTAATATAGTATATATAGACTATATATGTATATATGACTACCTCAAAGATATTGAAATCGCACGCATGATGATGAGTATCCTTGGAGATGGTGCGGGTTGCTTGCGGATCCCAAATAACAATATCAGCATCTGAGCCATTGGCTAGAAATCAAATGAATAGTAATAAATATTAATATATATATTTAATATTATTATATTACATTTAATTAATATTAATATGTAATAGTTAAACAATTATAACGTTTAACTTAGGTAAATTAATATGTTTATTATATTAAGTAAACAATAAAATTTTTTAATTATTATTATTATTATTATTATTTTTTTTTTTACATTATTATTTTATATTATATTAAATATTTAAATCTACATACTCACCGATTCGTCCCTTTTTTGGATATATATTAAATATTTTGGCTGCATTTGTGCTGGTTATGGCAACGAATTTGCACGGATCCATTAGGCCGGAATGCACGCCACGCTCCCAGACTAGAGACATGCGATCCTCAACGCCATTGACGCCATTCGGTATTTTGGTAAAGTCGCCCAGGCCCAGCTCCTTTTGCTTCTTGTTAAACGTGCAATTGTCGCTGCCCGTCGTCTGCAGATCATTGCTGGAAAAGGAAACCCAAATATACATATGCATTTTAATTTATTTTTTAAAATCAATTTTATACTTGCAATGAAATGACAGCGATATATATTATCAATATTATGAATAAAATATGAAAATATATACTCACTACGGCAAATCATCTTTGACAATGACAAAGGATTTGCTGACTCTGTTGGCGTCATCATCTGAGTTGTTGCATGATATGTGGATGTGATATACATATGTCAATATGTTTGATTAAATGTCACTTTAAATGCATGATTTATTGGCTAAGAAACGTATTGGCTCTGACAACTCACCTGGCTAGCAGCTTCATCAGAAACTCGGGCGTGGTCTTGTCGGGTCGCAGGGGCGGACTCAGCACATGGGCAGCCGCATGACCAAAGTGCTGGCAGCGATAGTGGGTGCCATCTGTGCCGAGAGCCGCCGCCAGGGTCTCGCCGTAGATGTACTTCCCACGATAACGCTGACGAGCGCGTGCTACCTCAATGCCCGCCGATTTGCTCATGACGTGCACCACGTACAGTGGACAATCGACCTGCAGAAGAATTTTTATAAATAAAATTGAATTAAATATCAAATAGTATAGATGAAAATATAAAATAATCAAAACAGTATATCCTATGAATAATTTTGAAATGCTATTAAAAAATAAATAAAATAAATACAGATATTAAATTTTAAAAGTCATGTAAATATTTACATAAGTTAACGCTAATCTTGAAAGGATAACATAACTCACTTCTAACAGCATGCTGAAATGTATGTTAATTAACATTACTCATCACAAAACACGATGTTAATTTAACACTATTAAAGCTTATGGTTTTTGCTTGTTTGCTTAAGGTGATTCCAATAAGAATCCAAGCTTTCACGAGAGTTAGAAAACTGACAGAAAGATAGATAAATAACTAGTATAAATTATAGCCTAAGCTGTTATTAATGACAGTTAGCTAATTGTAGTTTATATATTATATATGTTAGTTACATTTGTGAATATAGTATATATGCATGCATATTTAAGCTTAACCCACCTGATGAGCCAAAATGCAAGCACGATGCACGGCCTCAGCCTCCACCTCCTCCTGTCGCGACAACTCGTGACCCTCGGGTCCAGTAATGCCCTCGGCTAGCAGTCGCTTGGCATTCTTGGCAATAATATCTCCATTCTCAGCATGAACCTGGAACAGCAAACGTATAAAATTTAGAAAAAAAAAAAAATCACTCTCAAATATAAAGACTTTAATGTAAACCCACCATAGCTACAGCATTCAAGCCTCGTATGCGCTCAAAGACATCCAATAGTTCCGAGTCATTCAGCTGATAGAGGCCCTTATAGGCCATAAAGGTCTTGAATGAATTGATGCCCAGCTCCTTGCAGAGTATGCCAATCTCATCAGACACCGATTTCGACCACCAAGTAATGCCCACATGGAGTGCATAATCACAGCAGACCTTGGGATCTGCCCAGCTGCGCCATTTGTCATAGGCCTCGATCATGGACTCGTTTTTGTTTGGCAACACGAAATCAACTAGGGAATGGGATTTGTTAAAATCACAAATACTTAGATTGATGTATATAATGAATACCTACTTATCATGGTTGTGCCACCAGCCACAGCTGCTTTGGTTCCGTGATAAAAGCTAAAATGAATAATCGTGATAAATCGTTTGATCACTATTTATAGCACTCCAATCACTTACTCATCCACTGCCACCGCATTGCCAAAAGGCAGCTGCATGTGCGTATGCGGATCTATGCCACCTGGTATAATTAGCTTGCCGCTGGCATCGATTGTGCGCACGCCACCTGGCACCGTTATATCGGCAGCGGGTCCTACGAATCTGACAAGATTTGAATGTTAGCATGTGTACATAGAGTTATCATATGTACTTAGCATATTTACTTGATAATGCCATCCTCTATATAAACATCAGCTTTGAATGTCTTGTCGTGATTCACAATTTGGCCATTTTTGATATAGACACGATTCTGTGCGCTTTGCAGGTGTATGGGCACTTTTTTAACTGGCGTCGACATGTCAATACTTGAAAAAATATATAAAAATTATTTTAATAAGATTAAATATTTTTGCATCTTTTTATTTATTTTTAAGTGAATATTAAATATGGATAAATTGTATTTGTCTATGACTAATTTATTTCCAGAGCAAATTATTGATAATAGGTTAGTTTTCTCTTAACTCTTTGACCACATAAGAACAATAGAAAAATAAATTTCACTTTAGCAAGAACTGCATAAGATATTATATTCTATTTAGTTTTATTTTGAAACTACTTTTTTTTCGAATTTATATACCTTAGTTTTTGATAGCTCTATAAAATTTATTTACATATACCTAACAACTGTCAGATAATTTCTAATCAATTGACAGGCTATCTTGACTATGTCAACATTTATTTATGAATAATTACTTAAAACAATACATAAACATAAACTAACCAAGACAGTCTCACTCTCTTTGGGTAAATCTATATATGTATGTATTTATACGAAGTTGGCCCTAAGAGTAGCTTCTGCTGTCAATACTTATGCATATAAATATCAAACAGAACCGTAAATAAAGGAAACAAATACATAAAGTAAACAAGTCCCTATATATTTCATTTATTTTTGTTTTTCTTCTTATTGCTTAATCAAGCTTTTCCTTGACATCAAGAAAAAAGAAATGAAAAATCTTATCAAATGATTACGAAATTGATAAGTATAAATAATATTATGTTTCTGTTTATTGCACTGGCTAACATGCGTTCATTTAACTTTTCAAAATCGAACTGTTGTTTGTTTGTTGATAAGCTACATATCTCGGCATATGTATATGTATGTGTATATTCAAGGGTTTACCATCTTTGATAAATGGCTGATAGCAGAGGTTTGCTCTTGTCAATGGTAAGCATGTTTAGTTAAATATATACTTTAAATGCATCAATTTGAAGTCTTATCAATTGAGATAGTCGTATCTATTTAAAGAGCGACCTTTTCCGAGATACAGCAGACATAATGCCGACATGCAATGCATTTTTGTTTTTTTTTTTTTATGCCTCACTGCCCCAGATGTGAAGTGACGCAAGGAAATGTTGTGCTTTAAATATAGAACACACTTGGCG